CAGGCGCGATGAGGGCGAAGGATTAATGAATGATTAATGCGTGTGCGTCTATTAATCAGTTAAAGAGATGGGAAGTCAGCTGTGACCGCAAATGGGAATTAATGGTGAGGAAGGAGGATGGCTAATTGTTGGGCTCCAAGGGGCCCGAGGGTCCTCAGGCCGATGGAGCGGATGGAGCGGATGAGAGGTCGCGTTCAGGGGGAGGCTACGCACTCACCTTCCTCCTCGTACTGCTCTGCAATGGGGAGAAGAAAGGACAGGAGCCTGTTAGCGGGGCGACCCCGGGGCTGGCCGGGCCCCAGAGGAGGAGGCGGCTCTGGGGGTGACAGTGGCTTTCGGGGGGACCCGGGAGCCTGGGCATCTCTGTCCCACTGGGGGGCATGGCGGAGAGTGGTGGGACCTGCAGAGCTCCCTGGGGCCGGGCTGCCCGACTGCCTTGGGGTGCAGGCTGGGTGGGGTGCAGGCTGGGTTCGGAAGGGCCCACATCTCGAGGATGTCACCGTTCAGAAGGAGGAGTCCTCGGTGCAGGCAGGGGGGTGATCTAGGGCCCACGGAACGAGGCCAATCTGGGGCTTGCAGGCAGGGGTCCCCAGGGGAGCCCCGCCTCGAGACACGCATGTCCCCAGGGGTCGCGCAGGGAGGAAGCAGCAGGACACTTACCCTCCACCTGTTCACTGTGGGAGAGAGACGGGCAGAGCGTGAGGGCTTTCGCTCAGCTCAGGGGGGGGTCTCACCAACATAGTCAGGGCCTGGGGGTCCCCAGGCAGGCCGGGGGGGGGGGCTCTCTGACCACTACTCACACTTCCTCGTCCGACATGGTGGCGGGCTGTTTCTGCGGGGAGACCAAGGCCAGAGTTAGGACTGCCTCGGTCCAGAGGGGTTCAAGTAGGGAGGGGCTGGGGGTGTGAGGGGCATCTGCGGGCAGGGTCAAGGGCCGCAGCTCTGGCCTCGGGCAGGCCCACTCCCACCCTGGGGGCTGCCTCCTGAGGCCTCTTGCTTCCTCCAAGGCCCCAGGCTGAGACCTACCACCCCGTCTTCCTACCCTGGCTCCAGCCTGGAGCTGGGACTCCCAGGGTTGCTGGGATGTTGGGAGGTTGTGCGGTCCACCCCACCCAAGCGGGTCCTGCCCGTCCAGGCTGCTCTGGGTGGTCTTGCCTTTGGGGCGAGGTGGGGGCTCCTTGGCCCTCCCACCCACCGTCCCCACTGAGCCCCTGTTCCTGGCGTGAGCCCCCAGCTCCCTTCTCTGACCCATGGGTTCCTGCAAGGACCCACGTTATCCCACGCGCGCCCTGAGGTCCCCCGTGTGCCCACAGCCTCCTGCGGGTCCCTCTTCCCGAATCACAAGGTGCCCAATCTGTCCTTTGTCTCTCCCTCATCCCACCAGGCAGCCGCCTGCGCCCTGAGCTCAGGGGAACAGATGGGGGCCATTTCCCTATGTGTCCCCACATACACAGACACACATGTTGCTGGACTGAGTGGTCGGCCCCATCCTGCCAGCTCCCCCCGCCCCCCGCTCGCCCCCCGGCTCTCCCGCCCGCTTTCCCAGGCCCTGTGCAGGCTCTTGAGTTTGTCAATGTCTGCGGGGACGCTCTGCGTCCGGGCTGCACGTGTCCAGGTGCGGCCGGCGCCGGGCCAGCGTGCTCGAGGACCGTTTTCCGGTGAGCTGGCCACCGCTCACGCCCGGGGCGGCCAGGGCCTGGGAACGCTGGAGCAGCTGCAGGAGATTGCCGGCCTGGGGTTTGAGACAGCCCAGCGCCTGACAGCCCATTACAGCTCACTTGAAGACAATAGTTATGGCCCCCCCGGGGGAGCTTTGTATAAGAAAAACACGCGTTCATCATCGAAAAATGCATGCACGTCGCATTGCTAAGGTGGGAGCAGCTCTGCAAAGCTGGGTCAAGAATGTTGCTTTTCCCAGAGCAATTTCAGCGCCATGCATCATTAAGCAGCCGCTCCGAGAGCCTCCAGGCAGCGGAGGCCCTTCCCATCCCCAACTCTCTTCCTGGAATCCGCTGCTCCCCCAGTTCCAGCCTCCGGCCACGTCCTCGGTGGGAGGGGGGTCTCACGGCTCCTGAGCCCCCCCACCCCCCGCACCAGCCTGGACCCTGGGGCCACTCTCAGGAGGGTCAGGAGGAGCCGGGGCCTGGCCCTGCCGTGCCCACCTCTCGCCCTGGCAGCACCCAACACCTGTCAGCCTCCTTCAGAAGGGGGGGGCACAGCCCCAGCCCAGACGTGGGTTATTTTTAAGGAGCCGGTGGCAGCTGAGGTGTCTAGAAATAGGCACCGGGGTCAGCCAAGACGCCTCTGCCCAGAAACACAAGATGGTGGGAGGGGGGCTTGCGGGGCAGCTGCCCGCTTGGGTCTTGGCCAGGCCGGCCCTGCTCTGTGTCCCTGTAGGTCTCCCAGGCCGCCTGAGTTCCTCTGTCCTTCTGGGGGGAGCCTCAGGGGCACCGGGGAGGGCTCCAGAGCTCCTCGGGGTTCCGGGGTGTCGGAGGCAGTAAGGCCCACTCTCCACGTGGGGAAACTGAGTCTTTCGGGCTCCTGCTCCTCCACCTCGTGAAGTGGCAAGGGCACCCCACCGACGGCCCCGTGCCGCTCCCCACCTTTCCATCAAGGAGGAGCCGAGGAGGGTGCTCGGGGCAGGGGATGGCATGTCCACAGCCAAGGAGGAGGCCAGCTGGCCTTGCGGTCCTGCCCTCGAGGGTGAGGGTGGAAACAGCCTCTGAGGTCAGCATTCCTTGGGAGACACACACCCTCCTTCCCGGGTGACAAGACGTAGCTGGGGGGGCCGGGGAGGGGGGACACAGGAGGCCCTGCCACTCACTGCCATGGGCCCTGACCACGTCCCCAAGCACCCCCCCTGCCGGCCCTGTCCGCTCCTGTCCTTGGCTGCCTGGGTCCCAGCCACCCTGCCCGGCGGCCACTCCTGGTGGCCTAGACACCCTGCCTGGGTGTCGTCTGTACAAATGGCGGCATTAGAGCCACGGCCACTGGGAGCCCAGGGCCCCAGGAGGCGCCCGTCTTGGCCACTTTGTCTCCGATCCCTCAGCTCTCTCCAGCTCCAGCCTGAGGACCCTCCTCTCACCCAGGACCTTCCAGAAGGTTCCCTTCCTCCTCGGGCCTCCACTGCCTGGTGGCATCCCAGTGTGCCCCTGTGGTTCTCCCGGCCGCTACACTTAGAATTGAGACTCCTGGGCTGTACCCACCTGGCTGAGTCTGGAGAAAGGGCTGCAGCTCCCTGTGGACAGGACCGGTTCGGGCGCTGCCCTCTCGGCCCCACACCCTTATGTTATAGTGACATTTGATCTTTCCCAGCAGCCCATTGGCCAAGGCTGGGTGGCCGGGGCCGTGCCCACGCGGGTCCCTTACCAAGTATAGGAATAGCCCAGGAGGAGGCCCAAGGAGGTGAGGACGGGGCGAGTCTGCTGAGGAGAAGGGCCCTCCGCCCCCAGGAGGTGTCAGCTTCTATTTTTATGCCCCGACAGCAGGCACATTCTTAGCGGTTGAGGAGGACGAAGGAAGGGATTGGGTGGCCACGGGGACACACAAGCGTTCTCCTTGGACCAGCCAGGTGAGGGGTCCCCAGCCCAGGTGCCCCTCTGTTCCTGGTGACAGTGGGGTGCACATGACACAGTGCCCCAGCCCACCTACAGGCCCCTCAGAGGAAGTGGCCAGGGCTTGGAGACCCCCGTGGAGTGGAGGACCCCAAATCCTCAACGAGGACCCCTTGCAGGCAGGCCACAGCCAGGCCTGACCTGGTCCTCTGGGCACAGGCCACTGAGGTGTGGGGAGTACCCAGGTGAGAGGGACAAGCGACTGCTGGGCCTGGCACCCCCCGTCCCCAGGCCAGGGGCCACCCCTCTGCCGTCAGCCCAGAGCTCCCGGCCCGGCTTGGTGTGCCCCTCACAGTGGGCTTGGCCTCGTGCCCATGGGTCCCCCCTTTCTTTTCAGGACTCCAGGTAGCACCGTCCAGCCAGCACACATCTCGCTCCGACAGCGGGCACATTCTTAGGGCACAGTGAGGCCACAGGTCCCCTTGGCCCTGCCCCTCAAATTAAGGAGACCAAGGCATGGAGTGGGTGAGAGCAGCCTGGCACCTCCTTCCAGACCCCGGCTCAGGGAGACAGATGAGGCGGCTGCACTCTAGACCTTGGCGGCAGGGGTGGCAGGGGGGCCTGCCTGGGAGCTGGCATGCCTGGCCCTGCCCCACTCTGTGCCCACCCCGGGCCTCAGAGGCCCTCGGAAGGCTTTTGCTGCACCCACCCGACCCCTGAAAGTTGGAGATAAGGCCAGGGACCCTAGGGAGGCAGGGATGTACTCGTGGTCCCTAGCCAGAGGAGGCAGGTGGAGGCCCTCCCTGCCCACCTCCCCGAGGGCCGGCAGTGGGGAGCCCCAGAGGCTGGAGCTGTGGGAGACGTCCCTACCCTCCTGGGTGGAACTCTGGGCCCCTCTGGCCCGACACTCTCCCCTGCACCGGTCCAGGTTCTTGGTGGGCAAGGGTTTGTTGGGCCCCATGCAGCCCTGACCCTCGGCCACTTTGCACCCACTCTGCCCAGTGGGCTCTGTAAGCCTTGAGCCGCCCCCTGCTGTCGCCCCTGAGGTGGGGGGTGCTTCCCTCCTCCGATGGGCTCCTCTCACTCTGCCAACAGCCCTAGGACCTCCCCAAGCACCGAGGCAGGGACACGCACAGGATAGCGTCTGGGGCAGCTGGCTGTCTGTAGGCCCTGCTGGAGCATGGCCTGGGAAGCCCCGTGCACCCAGGGAGCTGCCCGCTGCCCCTGCCCCATGCTGGGCCCGGGGGGCTCCCAAGGGCTGCACCTGCAGTGGCCCCGCTCGGCCAGCAGAGGAGGGTGGCTGCCCACGCAGCGGCGTGGCCCCTGGCAGGTGCTCTCCGTGAGCGGGCTGAGCCAGAGCGCGGGCGCTGAGGTCAGAGGGATGGGGCAGGTTTTATTTTGGGCATCAGTGACCTCCCCTCAGGCGCCAGGCCCATGGTACGGCCGGACACACCAGCAGGCACTGCTGGCCAGGCGGCGGGACTCAGAGGGCCTCCAACAGGTAATCCACACTCGTCCCCGGGCCTGGCTGGGCTGGGGTGGGCGAAGAGGGGGCAAGGCAGGGCAGGGCCTCAGGGGAGCTGGAAGGGCACTGAGGTGAGGGAAGGGGTGGCCCGGCCCGGGTTGTGGTGGCAACTGGTCTTCACTCCAGGAAGAGTGTGAGGGCTGACTGCAGGGCCTCCTCCCGGGGATGGTGTGGGGGTGCTGAGCAGAGCCGGGGAGGGGCGGCTCCCAAGTGTCTTGGTGCCAGCTGTCCTTGGAGTGACCTTGGGGAGTATAGGGGTCCCTAGATCTTGGCCTGGCCCTCAGTGTGCGTGGTTGGGGGTACTGTGGCCCGAGAGCCCTGAACTGACCTGGGTGCCAGCTGGGCTCCATCTGCCAGGCCTTGGGCTCCGGCTCTACCAAGCCCAGGTGCAAGCTGCTGACATGGCACTTCCCCATCCCCATGCAGCTGCTGCCCCACATGCCCGGGTGCCTGGGTAATCTACAGATCAGGCTCCTCTTCCTCCCACGCGTGGGCCCTGGTGCCCGGAGCAGGGGGGTGGGATGAGGCCTCTCAGGTAAGAGAACGGATGGTGGGGCCTCACTCTGGATGGATGATGGATGGATGCACAGACAGATAGGTGGATGGATGGATGATGGATGGATGGATGGATGGATGGATGGATAGATGGATAGATGGAAGGATAGATGGGTGGATGGATAGATGGATGGATAGATGGGTGGATGATGAATGGATGGATGGATGGATGGATAGATGAGGGGGTGGATGGATGAGTGGGTGGATGGATGGGTGGATGGATAGATGAATAGATGGATGGATGAGTGGGTGGGTGGATGGGTGGATGGATGGATGGACAGCCAGCTACCCCTTGGGCAGTGATCCCTCTGAACCTCTTGGCCTCAGTGGTGGACAGGTTCTGACCCCCTGGTCCTGAGACACTCCAGCAGTGGGCATCAGCAATACTCAGACTGGGCCAGGTGTGGACAACCCCGATGGGCTGAGAGGGTCAGGGCGGTGTGGCTGGTTGCCTCCCTGGCACTGTCCACCCCACCTGCCTCTCTCCCCTTAGGTGGTCCACCTGGTCCCGGGACACTACCCAGGTGTAGACCTGTGCTGCCTGCCCGCTATCCTCAGCTCAGGCCCCATCCAGCTGCGGGAAGGGAGAGAACACCGTGTCCCCAGACACGGCCTCAGAGGTGGGCCAGAGTGCGAAAAGGTGCCAGGACTTTTTTGAGTGTAACACTTCTGCGCCGACATGTTTACTCTGTCTTGGGAGGCTGGCAGATTTTGACCATGAAGACTTCAGCAACGGAGGCTCTGAGCAGAGCCAACCCAGACACCCAGGGTCCAGGCCAAGGTCCTGCCAGCTCAGCAGGGGGCTCCCCGGACACGGAGGGCGCAGGGCCCAAAGTGAGGCCAAGTGCAGGCCCAGTGAGAGGAGGGGGAGCAGGGCGGACCCCACCCTGCCTCCCACTTCACACATGTCCACTCACTCACCCACCCACCCACTTATTTTTATACATCCATTCTCATGACCACTGTCTATCTCCCTCTCTTCTTCTTTTTCATCATCCATCCATCTATATCCATCTTTCCACCCATGTATCTACCACCCACCCAGCCATCCATCCAGTCTGGGTAGCATGTCTTTATCTGACCAATTCTTCTCCCATTTACTTTTCACACAGCCATTTCCTGCCCATCTACCTCTCATTCCTCTACAGGCCCATCCATTCATCCGTCCATTCATCCACCCATCATCTGCCCACCCATTCATCCATCTCTTCACACACGTATCCATCCATCTGTCTGTGCATCCATCCATCATCCATCTGTCCATCCATATATCCATCCATCCATCCATCTATTCATCCACCCATCATCCACCCATCCATCCACCCATCATCCATCCCTTCACCCACCCGTCATCTGCCCACCCATTCACCCATCTCTTCATGCATGTATCCATCCCACTGTCTGTGCATCCATCCATCAATCCACCTGTCCACCCATCCATTCACCCATTCATCCACCCATCCATCCATCCACCCACCCACCCACAGGTCTGTCTGTCCATCCATCCATCATCCCTCATTCAGACATCTGTCCATCCATCAAACCTTCACTGAGCAACTCCTGGGTACTAGGATGGGGCATGACCCCAAACCAGGTCTTGTCCTCAGGGGGTGCACAGACCGGAGGGGCACACTGTTTTGGGTGCTATGAAGTTTCTCTCAGGCCAGTCAAGGGGGAGACATCACAGACACTCTGGAAGAGGGGGGCTGTCCCCCACCCATCATGTGTGCTGGGATTTAGGCCACCACACACCTCAGATCCAAGGGTCTAATCCCAGAAGCCACGGGACGGGACCGGGTGTCTGAATCCAGAGGCTAGAGGCCTGCGTCCCACCACCATGTCGGGGGTGGCCCTTGCCCCCGGCCAGCCCTGCTCCCGTGTCCCTCCCCCCAGTTAGTGAGCAGCGAAGGGCCAGCGTGTGGGGACAGAAAGAGCTTTATTGCACAAATGAAGGGGCTGCAAGCAGGAGGCAGGGAGGGACGCAGGGCCGGAGTGTCCTGCACAGGCATCGGTGGCTCCTGACGGGGATGTCCCCTGGCTGGTGTGCTCTCTGCACAGGACACCCCTGCCTCGTGGGTGTGTGGCCTCTGGGGATGGTCCCCTTAGCCACGCACCAGTGAGAATCCCATTCCTCCCGGGCTGTGAGAGGCAGAGCCGGTGGGTCAGGGAGCAGAGGGGAGAGAGGCCGGAGGTCCAGGGACAGAGGTGGTGGCAGTGGCAGGTGTTGGAGGGGTGTGGGCAGCCAGGCAGGCAATGGGAAGCGGCTTCTTCGGCAGGGCTGGGTGGGCATCTGGCTGGACTCCCCGGGAGAATGGGTGGGGAGTGTGGAGGGAGCCCCCAGCCTGCACCCGGCTCAGGACAGCTGAAACACAGGCGAGGGGGTGTTAGGCTGCAGTCCCAAGGGGCACCCTGCCCCACCCAGCCTCCAGCCCCACTCTGGTGGCCACCCTGGCCTATCCACAACCCCTCCCACCAAGGGCAGCCCCTACTCCAGTCTCTGCCTCCCCTTGGAGGTCTGCTACCCGGAGGCTGAGCGCTTGAGCCCTGGGCCTTACTGGGGACTCAAGGCCCAGAGTATGTTGCCCATCACTGCTGGCCTGGCAGCCCCCCAGACATAGATCTGGGGTTCCTGTGGTTGCTGGGGTCCCAGCCTCTCAGAGGCAGACAGCAGCCCAGATTGAGCCCCCGGCAGACCCCTCCCCGGGCCCATCCCTTCCTGCCTGGCGGAGCCAGCGGCCCCCAGGCCTCCCTCCTCCCCCACACCAGCGGCCTCTGGCTCGGCCCAGACACCATTTGTCAACGTCCTTGCTAGCACATGGCGCCCAGAAACCAGGGCGGGCGGCTTGGCCGGGACCACCCCAGCCAGGAGGTCTGCGGGAAGGTCCGTTTAGCATAGCTCAGCGAAAATTGCTCCCACCTCTAGGCCCCTCGACCTCTGATGATGCAGCCCCTCACTCAGAGCCCCTGGCCGCCACCCTCACCGCTGGCTCGCAGCGGACGCGCCTGTGGTCGGGCCGGCGACGGCAGGGCGCCCCTCACGCGTTTGCGGGCGGGTGTCTTCCTGCCCTCACGGGCGCCCGGCCCAGCACGTGCCCCCCACTTGGCGCTGGCCGGTGGGTCTCCCGGCCCCAGCTGTGCTCCAGCCCTCGTTCATCACCCACCGGCGACGGGGCCCCTGTGGGCTCGTTCCTAAGCCGAGTGACGGCACAGCCGCCCACAGAGTTGCTGATGCAGACAGGCGTGCTAGAGCGCACCTGGCGGGGGCCCAGGGCTAGGAAGCGGGGCCCCGGTGGTCCTTCCGGACATGGGGGGGGGGGCACCGGGGGTGAGGAGGGCTGGCTGACGGCTGTCCCTCCCCACCCAGAGTGCCACAATGCTCATCTCTGCTGCCTCGACGCCCCCTGAAGCGGTGGGCCTGTGCCTCCAGGGGCCCCCTGCGCCCCCACCGCCCCTGCTACCGAAGCCCGGCAAGGACAACCTGGTTCTGCAGAAGCTTCTGAGAAAGGCGGCCCGGAAAAAGGGGGCCGGGGGAGGGCCCTCGGCCCCCACAGGGGCGTTCCGCACCTCCCTGTCCCCCGTGAGCGAGGCCAGCCACGACCAAGAGCCCACAGCCCCACACCCCGCCCAGGCCCCAAGCACGGCTGCCACCCTGCCCCGCGCCCCCCACGCCCCCGTCACCCGCCGTGTGCCCTCACCCCTGCAGAAGTCCACGCTCGCCCTCAGCTTCCCCCTGCACAGGAGCCGAACCTCTCCCCTCACGGCCCCGGGGCCCCTGCTCACAACCCCGGCCCCGGCCCGGGGACCCAGCGGCTTTGCCCGTGTCTCAGCACCCGCGGTGGGGGACACCCACATCAGCCGGGTGCACATCCAGCTGGTGCCATCCCCGGGGGCCGGGGCCCCTGAGCCTCCCCCGATGGCACCTGATGGGGGGTCTGGCGGCCAGGACCGAGACACAGCCCCTTGCCCTCCTGGAGCCCAGCCCCGGGTCCCGGTTGCCCACATCCGCCCTCTTCCTACTGGGGCCCAGGCGGCCAAGCCCTGGCCAGAGGCGGCCCCTGTGCCCAGGCCACCCCCTGGCTTCCTGGCTGCGGGGCCCAGACAGGCCAGCACCCGGGTCGTGGTGCCCATAGCGCCTACCTATCGCTCGCCGGGGCCCTCGCCTGCTAGGCCGGCCCCTGTGGACCCCGAGGCTGAGCACCTGGAGGAGCCCCCCACTGCTGGCCCCACCGCAGAGCCCCAGCAGGTATCCAGCCCTCAAGGGGCCTGGTTGCCCGCCTCAACCTCAGGCCCCCACGCCTGCCCTGTCCCCAAAGTTGCGCCCAAGCCCCGGCTCAGTGGGTGGACGCGCCTCAAGAAGCAGCTGATGGAGGAGGTGGAGGAGGCCCCGTTCCTGAGGCTGGAGCGGAGCCCCGAGCAGATGGAGCAGGAGAAGACGGCCCCCGCCGACCCAGCCCCCCAGTCCCTCGCCGACCCAGACCCCCGGCCTCCCACTGACCCGGCCCTCCCACCTCCCGTGGACTTGGCCCCTCAGTCGTCCGTGGACCCGGCGCCTCGGCCCCCCGCCTCCCGGGCCTCCAAGCTGTGGGATGCGGTTCTGTACCGCATGTCAGTGGCCGAGTCCCACAACAGCCAGGCGGGGCCTGGGGATTGGCTGTGCGCCCCGCCCGGCCTGGGCCGCCTGCCCTTTCTGTGCCGACCGCGCTTCAACGCCCGGAAGCTGCAGGAGGTGGCCGCCCGGCCCCCTCCCACCATCCACTCCGTCCTGGAGCTGAGCCCCCCGCCCAAGAACTTCAACCGCACCGCGGCCGGCTGGAGGCTCCGGTGAATGGCCGGCTGGGGCGGCCCCAGGCCTAGGACCATGCTGGACAGGAGGGGCCACAGCCAGTGAAGAGGCTGCATGGACCTGGGAAGGGCCCGGGGGCGGCGGGGCTGTCAGGAGGGACAGGGGCATGAGGATGGGGAAGTGACGAGGCTGGGAGCAGGGGGCCGGGAGGAGGTGGTTTCCATGTGTGGAGGGGCAGGGGGCTTAGGTCGGAAGGAAAGGGCCCAAGTCCACATGAGGCAGGAGTTGGGCAGGCTGACCTCACACCTAGTGCCTGCCTGGTCTCCTGGGAGGCAGGGAGGCAGGGAGGGAGGGAGGAGGGCCACAGGTTGGGCGACCCACTGAGGTGGATGGGAGAGGGACACAGAGGGACTTGGGAGGCCTCTAGCCACGGCCCCCGGAGAGGACTCAGGAGGGGAGTGGGTGGGGGAGGAGGCCCCACTCACCCCAGGACATCATGGGTGCTGTACGTGGGTGGACCCTGGGACCCAGGCCACCAATAAAAGTGTGTCACTCCATGGCAGCGGGTCACCTGTCTGACTGCGCCGCTGGTGGGAAGGGCAGTGGACACCAGGGAGGTCGTGGCTGGGCCCCGTCTCATCATCCCATCAGTTTCTGCAACACCAGCCTCGCAGTGGCCAGGCCACCTCACCTGCCCAGGGAGCCTCACTGGGATCTTATGGCCTCTTCCCAAGAGGGAGTGTGAAGCCCCCCGTTGGAGAACAGCCGAGCAGGCCCGAGGCCACAGGGTCTGATGTAAGACGGGGTGGGGTGGACGACCCAGAGGCGTCTGGGTTCTGGCCAGTTCTGAGGCTGGGCATTTGGCCCTCACAGGCACCTTTGCTACCTGTGACATGGACCAGCAGGCCCTGTCTACGCCACCACGTTCCCAGAACAGCCCACTTCATACATGACTCAACCGCTAAGGCCGCTGCCCTGGACTCACCGAGAGGGAAGGCTTAGGGCGCCGAGCCCTCGTCCATCAGCACCTTCTCGTACTTCCCATGTCCGGTGGCCACAAACTTGTATCTCTTCCCAGATGGGGTGCTCTGTTGGGGAAGGAGCCCGAGAGCAAATGGTGAGCATGGCAGAAGGGAGATGCTGCTGCCTCCGGGAAGCCCTCCTAGATGCACTAAGAATGGTCCCTTGTTGCTCTCGGACCCGCTCTCCCCGCCACCACTACAGACAGACTCTACCTTAATGGTCGACGAAGTCTTGGAGCCTCCTTTCTGCTCCCAGAGGCTTTTCTTGCTCATGTCTCCAGCTACAATGTCCTGGGGACAGAAGGAGGACACATCACCCCTGTTGACTGGGGGCCCGAAGCCCTGGGCCCTTCTCTCCTGCCCACCTGCTCCGTGAGGAGGGCTGAGAGCCCAGGGAGAGGCAGGGCAGGGCAGGTTGCACCTTCTGCCTTCACTCTGCCAAGCACCTTTCTCCCCGCTGCCGTCCACGCCCAGGGCCAGCCTGGAGGTCTCAGCCTGGGTGGCCCTCCCCGGGGAGGGGCCTACCTTGCAGGAGGGGCTCTTGGCAGCAGACTGGGCCTGCACCTCTCCCGTCTCCCACCGGCTCTTGGTGCTGGCCACAGCCATGCTGGGCAACTCGATGGAGGGCTGGCGAGCTAACTTGGAGTTCCGGCCAGCAGTCTACAGAGGAGACAGGCCCCAATGCCACTTTAGTGAAGAGCCACGTGGGACCCATCAGAGAGCCCAGGGAGCATGTAGGGGACATCCTCTGTGTCTGCATCTCCCCAGCCGTGCGTTCCCCTCCCAGGGCAGGAGCAAGGCTCTGAAAAGGTGTGTGCTCCTCCATCCAGTGTACTTGCAAAGCTCCCCTTGTTCTGTAGAGCATAGGTGATGTGGTGGGACATGAGACAGACCTGGGGCTATCCTCACGCTGCTCAAGGCATAGGGCTGGGAGAGGATGGGATGAATGGAGGGGTGTTGGCTGGATGGAGGGTGTTGGTTGGATGGAGGGTTGTTGGTTGGATAGAGGGTGCTGGTTGGATGGAGGGTGTTGTCTGGATGGAGGGTGTTGTCTGGATGGAGGGTGCTGGTTGGATGGAGGGTGTTGGTTGGATGGAGAGTGTAGGTTGGATGGAGGGTGTTGGTTGGATGGAGGGTGTTGGTTGGATGGAGGGTGTTGGTTGGATGGAGGGTGTTGGCTGGATGGAGGGTTGGTTAGATGGAGGGTGTTGGCTGGATGGAGGGTTGGTTAGATGGAGGAGTGTTGGTTGGATGGAGGGCTATTCGTTGGATGGAGGGTGTAGGTAGGATTGAGGGTGTTGGTTGGATGGAGGGTGTTGGTTGGATGGAGGGTGTTGGCTGGATGGAGGGTGTTGGTTAGATGGAGGAGTGTTAGTTGGATGGAGGGTGTAGGTTGGATTGAGGGTGTAGGTTGGATGGAGAGTGTAGGTTGGATGGAGGGTGTTGGTTAGATGGAGGAGTGTTAGTTGGATGGAGGGTGTTGGTTGGATGGAGGGTGTTGGCTGGATGGAGGGTGTTGGTTGGATGGAGGGTGTTGGTTGGATGGAGGGTGTTGGTTGGATGGAGGGTGTTGGCTGGATGGAGGGTGTTGGTTAGATGGAGGAGTGTTGGTTGGATGGAGGGTGTTGGTTGGATGGAGGGTGTTGGCTGGATGGAGGGTTGGTTAGATGGAGGAGTGTTGGTTGGATGGAGGGTTTTTGGTTGGATGGAGGGTGTAGGTTGGATTGAGGGTGTTGGTTGGATGAAGGGTGTTGGTTGGATGGAGGGTGTAGGTTGGATGGAGAGATCGATGTTGGTTGGATGGAGGGTGTAGGTTGGATGGAGGGTTTTTGGTTGGATGGAGGGCGTTGGTTGGATGGAGGGCTGTTCATTGGATGGAGAGATGTTGGCTGGATGGAGGGTGTTGGTTGGATGGAGGGTGTTGGTTAGATGGAGGTATATTGGTTGAATGGATGGGTGTTGGTTGGATGGATGGGGATAGGTTGGATGGAGGGCTGTTGACTGGATGGAGGGGTGTAGGTTGGGTGGAGGACTGTTGGGTGAATGAGAAGAGCTGCATGAACAGAGTGGTGACCCAGTAGAGCAGGAAGGCTAAGCATACCTCGATGGCCTGGGTGTACTGCTCCAGCCGGTCATCAATCTTGGAGATGGGCAGGGCTGGCTCGGACCTCTTCACACTGTTGCTGGAGGGTAGGAGAAGGGTCACACCCTGTGTCCCCTCACTGGGCTTGTAACCCCACCCTGAGCCCCATGGGAGCTCTCTCAGGCCCCCCATCTCCACCCCCTCTCTCGACCTCTCTTGGAGAACCTCGAGTCCTAGCCTGGGAAGCCATCAGGGTACACACCTCTTCTTGATGGAGCGGCTCAGGGACTCGGTTCTGTCGATGAGCTGTGCAGGGCGACAGAGAAGGAGCCTTGGAGGCCGAGCAAGGCCTACCCTCTACCCCTGCCTTGATGGTGTTCTCTGGGTGCTGGGTTCGGGGAGGGCAGGGGCCCGGGGGACGGCAAAGAAAGAGCAGCAGTGCTCCCTGTTTGGGCTGATGTGGTTGCTTCCGGGGCTGGGAGGAGGGAGAGGCAGCAGCCTTGGGGCTTGACCTACCTTGGTGCTGGGGCTCAGGGGAGGCGAGCTCGGCTCGGTGGTCTCCTCCAAGAGCAAGGGGCTGGGCGCCCTGGGCCGCTGACGTTGCTGGTGCTGGAAAGGAAACATCTGAGCTTATGGGACCTGGATGAGCACCCCCGCCGCACCCCTCCTGCTCCACGTGGAACCTACTCTCTCCCTTGGCTGGGCCTCAGGTCCTTCCCAGCCCTGACATGCTTTGGTTCTGGAATTCTCTGCAGCAGGACTAACCATGCAGAGTCACCCCCCGCCCCAAGGATGTGGGGGCTACACACTGCTAGCTCTCTGGGGGCTGGTCCCACAAGGCCACGGAGTGAGCAGGCAGCAGAGACGGACACAACCCGGCCCTGAGGGACACCACCGTCACCTCCTCAGCCTCCTCAGCCTCTGCTGGGCCCGGGCTGCCCCGGCCGGTCTCCTCTGGGCCCACGGGCTCTGCCTGCTCTGGCCCTGGCTCGTCCTGGGGCTCGGAGTCGGGGTTCAGATGTAGCTCCTCCAGGTTGACTCTGCCTGGATGCAGCTCGTCACCATTCTGGTGTCTACAGGGCCTGTGGGAGGAAGAAGGGTGCAGGCTGACCAGGGGTCATCTGATGGCTTGGTTCAAGTCCCTTCCCACTTCCCAGGCTCAGTTTCCTCATCCCTAAGACGGGGCTGGTCAGCCCAGCAGAGTGCTAAGGATCCTCGAAGCCCAGGCCCTGGGTGAAGGGGCTGCAGGAACCTACGATCCAGCCCCTCTCCCTGGGCCCCTTGGGAAGCAGCCCCGACTGCCACAGCCGCACTGAGGGCCACCCCATGCCGAGGCTCCACCCGGTCTCAGACTCTGGATGGGCTCCTGCCTCGTGTCCTGCTTCCCCTCGCCCACCCTGTAGCCTAGGCTGGCCGGTCCCCGCGGCCGAAGGCACCCTGCTCTGAGCGTGGCCCGTGGGCCTTGGGGAGGCGGCTGTTGCGTGGAGTGAGGTGGGGTCTGGGGGTGGTCTAGGGGTTGGTCAGCTGGCGGACAGGCCAGGGCAGGCCCCAGCTAGGACGCATCCTGAGGAGGGGGGCTGACTGAGCTGGCCACAGGGGAGGGGGGGGCCAGCCTGCTGGCAGCCAGTTGCTCTGCATTTGAGCGGGACTGAACCTGGAGAAGAAGGTGGGAAATTCTCGAATTTTCCATGATTTCAGGCCCCTTGGTGTTGGTGCCAACCAAGACCCAGACCCACCGCCCAGGGTGGGCCGGGGTCCAGCCAGCGGCAGGCACACAGAGGGCCCATTCAGTGGCAGTGTTTGGCCGCAGGTGTGGGGGTGCAGGGAGGAGAGCCCGGGTTCTACGGAAGAGCCAAAGCGCCCCCTGCTGTTGAGAATGCCGGCCCGTTGCTGGCTGGGGAGGAAGGAGCCAGGGTGGCCGCCCTGCAGACCCCAGCCCCACTTCAGAAATGCAGAATGTGCCTCAACTCACAGAGGCAGATGGGGAACGCCGGGGCCCGGAGGGGGTGGTAGGCAGGAGGCTGAGGCAGGACCAGGGCCCCAGCTAGGCAGGCGGCTCGTGAGGGGAGGGAGTCTGCTTGTGGGGACGGGAAGGGCTCTCAGCCACAGCTCAGGCTGCTTGGAGGCCCGGGGAGAGCTGGGGGTCTGGTGATACTTGGGGCGAAGGGAGATCCTGTTCCCCCATGGAAGCTCCTAAGCAGAGCTGGGACCCTGAGCACATGGGGGCCTTGGGCACAGCCTGCACAGCTCAGAGAAGAGCTCAGAGCTGGGGAGGGGGGCAAGCTCGGGGAACAGCCCCCAGCCCTGGGCCCCGGGGAGCTCGGCCCCCACCCCCGTCCGCTCCGGTTCAAACCGGCAAACACGTCTGCACATCTGGAAAGCTTGTCCCCCAGGCCGCCTCGCGGGCCCGCACATCTGGAAATACCTGCTCCCCTCCGTGGGAATGGAGGCCAGCCAGCCCCGAGGGAGGAAGGGGCGGGCGCGGGGGCCAGAGCCTCCATTACGTAAGTGGGCTGCAGATGTGTGCTGATGTGGCAACACCGCCGGCCGCAGCTGGTCTGGATGGGGCCCAGGGCCCTGGGGAGCCCAGGAATGAGATTTCCTCACCGCTCCCGCGGCCCCTCGCCGCCGCCTTGCCGTCTCGTTCTCTTCCTCCCTTTCCCCCATTCCCCCTCCCAGTCGTGGGGCCTTTTCGGGGGGCTGGCTGGGAAGGGGAGCAGAGGGCTATTGCTCAGGCATGTGTTGGGGGGCTTGCAGAGCCTGCCTGAAGCCTCTCTCTCGGCGTTAACCCCTACTTGCCTGGCCTCCTGCTCCCCCTCTGGGCTCTTTCCCTGCAGGGGCTGCCGCAGCTCTGGCTTCTGGGCCCAGTCACCGAACCCCTCGTCCTCCTCCAGTTCTGGGGCCTCCGAGGCCTTCAGCCTACAGGGGAGGGGGGTTGGAGGGGGAGGGAGAGCAGAGAGGCCGAGCTAGGCCAGGGTGCAGGGCAGGCAACCTCTACCCACACCTCCTCCCACTCGGACCATGAGCCATGGAGGCGCTCGCAGGGCCGGACCAGTTCTGCCCAACATCACAGTGTCCCTAGGGGCAGGACTGTGTCCCCCCACAGTCTGGAGCTGCCTGAGGCCAAGGCTGCACCTCACCCCATTAAGGCAGGGTTCCCCAAGACAAGGCTGTCTCTACCCCATCAGTTTACAATTCCCTAAAAGCTGGGTTCTGTCTCCCACTTTGGTCTGGCGCTCCCTGAGCGCTGGGTTCTGTCTCCTCCTTTGGTGTGGGGGTCCCTGAGTGCTGGGCTGTGTCTCCCCCTTTGGTGTGGGGGTCCCTGAGTGCTGGACTGTGTCTCCCCCTTTGGTCTGGGCTCCCTGAGCGCTGGGTTCTATCTCCCCCCTTTGGTCTGGGGGTCCCTGAGCGCTGGGTTCTGTCTCCCCCCTTTGGTCTGGGGTCCCTGAGTGCTGGGCTGTGTCTCCCCCTTTGGTCTGGGGGTCCCTGAACGCTGGGCTCTGTCTCCTGCCTCAGCCCAAGTCCCTGCGTGTGGGTAACCAGTGTCCATCTGCCCTCCTAGCTGTGCCCCAGGGCCCTGCCCGGCTCCTTCCCTGGGTGCAGGGGGAGCCTCTGCACCCCGATCCCCTTTGCAGGCCGGGATCCTGGTGCAGGTCGGCTCCCCCTGCCCCCAGCCTCTGGCAGCTCTGCCTAGAACCTGGCCCAGAGGCAGTGACCGCTGCAGGACCCCACCCCGCCCAGGGCTGCTGACTCGGAGAAAACGGAACAAATGGGCCTGGGAAAGGGGCGATATTGGAAAAACAGCCCAGCCCAGCCCAGCCGGGAGGCCTCCTGGGCCTCGGGCTGGCCAAGTTGGACTCGGTGTATGTGAGTCATCGGCAGCAGGGAGTGTGGGCGGGGGGCTGGGGGCCCCGGGCTGTGCAGCTGGGGTCAGGATCAGTCCGTGCAGGGCTGGGACCACTCGAGCTGGCCAGCGCTTGCACCCTGGGAGGGGGCTGTGCGTGACTCTGCTGGCCACAGGCCGGGGCGCCCCTCACCCAGAACACGCCACAGTCCTGCTGCAGCTCTGGGCCTGGCCCCCCGGTCGCATTGCTGTGGGACCCCAGGGTAGAGCCTGACCACTGCGTCCCCCCTGCCTGGGGTGCAGGACCAGGGCAGCCGCTGGGCAGCTTACAGCTCCTCCTGCTCTCGGGGCTCCGGGGACGGGCTGCCTCCGTCCTGGTCCTGGGCCCTCTGGTGCCCGTCTCGCTCCCGCCGACGTCGCTCCCGCGCGGCCTCCTCCTCGTCGTCCAGGCTCCACTGCGTGGCGAGCCTGGGGACATGGAGACATGGTCCCCCTCGGCCACAGCTCGCACCTCCTGCCCAAGCGGGCCCCGGGGCTGCCTGTGGGGGGCTGACGGCCCCGGGCCTTTCCAGGACTCAGTTTCCCCATCTTCCAGGCAGAGGCCATGGGAGGTGGTTGAGAAGTTGCCCTCGGCTGGAAGGAGATGCCAGGGTTCTGCAAGCATCTGGCATCTGTGTGGGCCTTGGTGGTGGAGGGGCCCTGGGGTGCAGCCTGGACCCCGGGCCTGAGCAGAGCCAGTGTGGCTTTGACCCCAGGCAGGGAGGATGTGGACAAGGGTCCCTCGGTTAGGAGACCTGGCTGTGGCCACCAGATAACCCTGCCATTGCCCAACCTGAGTCAGGGGCTTAGGCCTCGCCAATCGGGCACTGCCAGGCTGGGCTGGGCCAGGCAGGGCAGAACCAACTAGGCAGCCGCCTCGCCCTTGTCCACCCTGCGGGGGCCCCTTCCGATCCCCCAGGAGCATGCTGATTGGGGAGAAAGTAGCCCACCCAGGGCCCAAGGCACAGAGAAGGGGTGTCCCGCGGAGTCCGCTCACCAACACCACCCCACCCCTCTGAGCCCCCATGGAGCCGAGTCTCTGGGTTGTTTCAAAGATGGAAAACAGACCCACTGCAGCACCAGGCACAAAAGAGCTGCCCCTCACTCAGGGCGACAGCAGGCTGGCCTGGGACCAGGGTCCAAAACCCACCGCCTCTGCCCTGGCCCAGCAGACCCAGACCCTCAGTGTTCAGCTGGCATGGCCCTGCCCACCCCACCTTGTTCCCTTGCAGCCTGGGGAGCCCTGGGTCCCCACTTCTGCAGGGCACACTGCCCCCCTCCCTCTGCCCCACACCCAGGGTCCCAGCCCCTCCTGCCTGTGTCCGCTGCCTGACCCCGCAGCTCTCAGCTCGCTATCTTCGGGCCTCCGCCCCTGGGCCTCCGCCGCCAGCGTGATCTAATCTCTCCTAAGTCTCCTTGGAGCCTCTCAGACAAAAGCCAGGCCCTCCACAGCCTCAGCTCGGGGGCCCACTCCCCCCTGCGGCCGTGGGATTCTGGCCTCCGCACCCCCATCCATCCGCCTCCCACACTCCCGCCAGGGCTCCAGGGAGCCCCTGATTCCCCACACCTGGTCCCATCACATGGCGCCTGGCCCTCCAACCCCCCTCCCCGTCCCCCGCTCCAGGCTCTGGGAGGGGGCTGCAGGCCCCTTCTGTGTGGAAGGCAGAGCCTGGGGTGCTCTTGGGGCTGTTGGGGACCTGGGGTCCCAGGTCCCTCCCCTCTGTGCAAACCAGCAGCCACTCCAAATGGTGGTGGGAGGGCTACCCTGGCTGGGGGGCTATCTTGAGACAGCTTGGGGCGCCCCAGGAGGACACCTGGGAGGGGTGAGACGGCCACTTTGCCCCCTGGCTCCGTGTCCACGCTGCCAGGGGCCTGTTTGTGTTGTGGTGCTTGGGCCAATGCGTGCTGTTTGGGGGTGTGCGGGGGCCCGGGTGGGGTGTGTGCGAGGCCCCCTCCCACACAGGGCCATTCTCCTGCTCCCCAGACCTGTGCACCCAGTTCTGAGGGCTGGGACCCGCAGGGCGCAGAGGCCACACCATGTCCAAGGTCTGGACTCAGGTGAGGTCCCTCGGTTCACCCCGCTGGCCATGTGTCCTGGCTGCAGAGCCCCCAGCAGACCTGTGCTGGCTCCCAGCACACATGGCCAGGCTGCCTCGCACACAGACCACACGTTCTCCATGAGCCCCACACAGACTCACGTTCTCCATGAGCCCCACACAGACTCACACGTTCTCCATGAGCCCCACACAGACTCACATGTTCTCCATGAGCCCCACACAGACTCACACGTTCTCCATGAGCCCCACACAGACTCACGTTCTCCATGAGCCCCACACAAACTCACATGTTCTCCATGAGCCCCACACAGACTCACATGTTCTCCATGAGCCCCACACAGACTCACGTGTTCTCCATGAGCCCCACACAGACTCACATGTTCTCCATGAGCCCCACACATACTCACATGTTCTCCATGAGCCCCACACAGACTCACGTTCTCCATGGGCCCCACACAGACTCACATGTTCTCCATGAGCCCCACACAGACTCACATGTTCTCCATGAGCCCCACACAGACTCACATGTTCTCCATGAGCCCCACACAGACTCACACGTTCTCCATGAGCCCCACACAGACCACACGTTCTCCATGAGCCCCACACAGACTCACGTTCTCCATGTGCCCCACACAGACTCACATTCTCCATGAGCCCCACACAGACTCACATGTTCTCCATGAGCCCCACACAGACTCACATGTGCTCCATGAGCCCCACACAGACTCACATGTTCTCCATGAGCCCCACACAGACTCACATGTGCTCCATGAGCCTCACACAGACACACGTTCTCCATGAGCCCCACACAGACCACACGTTCTCCATGAGCCCCACACAGACTCACATGTTCTCCATGAGCCCCACACAGACCACATGTTCTCCATGAGCTCCACACAGACTCACGTTCTCCATGAGCCCCACACAGACTCACATGTTCTCCATGAGCCCCACATAGACCACATGTTCTCCATGAGCTCCACACAGACTCACGTTCTCCATGAGCCCCACACAGACTCACATGTTCTCCATGAGCCCCACACAGACTCACACGTTCTCCATGAGCCCCACACAGACTCACATGTTCTCCATGAGCCCCACACAGACTCACATGTGCTCCATGAGCCCCACACAGACTCACATGTTCTCCATGAGCCCCACACAGACTCACATGTTCTCCATGAGCCCCACACAGACCACATGTTCTCCATGAGCCTCACACAGACTCACGTTCTCCATGAGCCCCACACAGACTCACATGTGCTCCATGAGCCCCACACAGACTCACATGTGCTCCATGAGCCCCACACAGACTCACGTTCTCCATGAGCCCCCACACAGACTCACATGTTCTCCATGAGCCCCACACAGACTCACATGTTCTCCATGAGCCCCACACAGACTCACATGTTCTCCATGAGCCCCACACAGACCACATGTTCTCCATGAGCCTCACACAGACTCACGTTCTCCATGAGCCCCACACAGACTCACGTTCTCCATGAGCCCCACACAGACTCACATTCTCCATGAGCCCCACACAGACTCACATGTTCTCCATGAGCCCCACACAGACTCACATGTGCTCCATGAGCCCCACACAGACTCACATGTTCTCCATGAGCCCCACACAGACCACACATTCTCCATGAGCCCCACACAGACTCACGTTCTCCATGAGCCCCACACAGACCACACGTTCTCCATGAGCATCACACAGACTCACGTTCTCCATGAGCCCCACACAGACTCACATGTTCTCCATGAGCCCCACACAGACTCACATGTTCTCCATGAGCCCCACACAGACCACACGTTCTCCATGAGCCCCACACAGACACATGTTCTCCATGAGCTCCACACAGACACATGTTCTCCATGAGCCCCACACAGACTCACGTTCTCCATGAGTCCCACACAGACACACATGTTCTCCACGAGCCTCACACAGACTCACACGTTCTCCATGAGCCTCACACAGACACACACATTCCCCATGAGCTCTTCACACAGCCCCGCGTAGACACAGAGCGTAGACCCTTCCCATGTGGGCCTGGACCCCCTCGCTGTGTACACACATGCACACACACACACACACACACACACACAGACGTGCATGTGCAGATCAGACGTGGGAACAAGGTGAGCACGGAGTGGCAGGTCCCAGCACTGTTTACTGTTTGCTTGCTGTCGCCCTGACAACAGCCCTGGGAGAGGCTAAGCCTCATTTGCTGGGAACATCCTCCCTGAGGCCCCTCCAAGGGTCACCCCCCATTCCTGCCACTCCATGGGACCCCCTGAGCCCTCCTGAGGGGCAGAGTGAGGGTGCCGGGTAGGGGTCTCCCCGTGTCTTCCCAAAGCCCCACGCTGGGAGAAGCCACCCCAGCCGCAGCCCCTGACCCACAGCCCAAGGACAAGGAGCCTGCTGGGCCCCTTCCCTCCGCCTCCTCCCCCCTCTCCCTCCCCACAGCCCCAGGATGTGAGTAATGCGGCCCCTCCTGGCCCCTCCCATGACCTCAGCCCCTCACTGATCCACAGCTGGGCCCAGTTCTGGGAACTGAGATGGGGGTGGCTCTCTTGGGGTGGGGTGGGGGCCCCTGGCCTGGGAAAGGCGCCCCCGGCCAGAGGCCCAGACCCCTTGGCACGCTCAGCGGAGCTGTCAGGACGCTGGCGACAGCCGGCCGCCTGTGGCCCCAGCTCAGCCGCTGCAGCTGCGAGGGATTTGCTGTTCCGAGCAGATGCAATTAGGCGATTTCCTGTGTCTGTGCTGGCTCCGCGCTGGAGGCCCAGGGTTCAGCCCGGGGGGCGCGGGAGTGGGCTTGGCCCCCCTCCCAGTCAGGCTCCACCGCGGGGCCCAGCCCCACCGCCTGCACAGACCCAAGGCCCTCAGGCTCCAGGCTCCCGGCCTGAGGGGGGTCCCTGAGTTCAGGGGTTGCCCCTGCTGGCCGGGTCCATTGCCTACTGGGCCCCAACTCAAAGCACGGCCCCCCTCCTTCCTCCACAGCCCCCAGTCCCCACCAACTGCTGACAGCGCCCGTTCTGGGCCAGGCCTGGCCCTCCCAGCTGTCCCACCCCCTCCCTCTCCTTCCTCCCCTGCCCGCAGGGCTGGTTCCAGAAGGGGCTTCAGGCCCTGGTCCTGTCTCGACTCTGCCCCCTGCAGGCAGCTAGTGGGCTGCCCCCTGCCTCTCTGAGGCCAAGGTCTGCTGAGTCCTGGGAGAGCTGGGGCTTGAGTGCAGGCGGGGGCCACAGGGAGGCCCACCAAGGAGGAACGTCTCCTTCAGGCCCACAGGGACCCTCCTGGCCACAAGGCCCCTGACATCACGGGCTGGGGGGCCGGAAGGACTAAGGCGGTGGGCTGGTCCCCCCTCCCTC